ATGGGTCCAAACTTTTTTTTTTTTGTTTTCTCGAGGTTTTGGCCAAATTATAAAAAACCATGGAAAAAAACAAAAAAAATCAAAAAAACCAAAAAGTTCAGACCCATGTCCCCAGCCAAGCCTCTCCCCAGACCTTGCCCATGGGTCTAAACTTTTTTTTTTTGTTTTTTTTGGTTTTCTCGAGGTTTTGGCCAAATTACAAAAAAACATGGAAAAACCAAAAAAACAAAAAGTTCAGACCCATGTCCCCAGCCAGGCCTCTCGCCAGACCTTGCCCATGGGTCTGAACTTTTTGTTTTTTTTGTTTTTGGTTTTCTCGAGGTTTTGGCCAAATTGCAAAAAACCATAGAAAAACCCAAAAATAAAAAAAAAAAAGTTCAGACCCATGTCCCCAGCCAGGCCTCTCCCCAAACCTTGCCCATGGGTCTGAACTTTTTGTTTTTTTGGTTTTCTCGAGATTTTGGCCAAATTACAAAAGCCATAGAAAAACAAAAAAAAACAAAAAGTTCAGACCCATATCCCAAAAATAAAAAGTTCAGACCCATATCCCCAGCCAGGCCTCTCCCCAAACCTTGCCCATGGGTCTGATTTTTTTTTTGGTTTTTTTAGTTTTCTCGAGGTTTTGGCCAAATTATAAAAAACCATGGAAAAACCAAAAAAAACAAAAAGTTCAGACCCATGTTCCCCCAGCCAGGCCTCTCCCCAGACCTTGCCCATGGGTCTGAACTTTTTTTTTTTTTGGTTTTTTCGTGGTTTTCTGGCCAAATTACAAAAAACCATAGAAAAACCAAAAAGTTCAGACCCATGTCCCCTGCCAGGCCTCTCCCCAGACCTTGCCCATGGGTCTGAACTTTTTGGTTTTTTTGGTTTTTTCGAAGTTTTGGCCAAATTGCAAAAAAATCATGGAAAAACCCAAAAAAACAAAAAAGTTCAGACCCATGTCCCCTACCAAACCTCTCCCCAGACCTTGTCCATGGGTCTAAACTTTTTTGTTTTTCTTGTTTTTTTTAATTTTTCCATAGTTATTTTACATATTTTTCATGTAAATATGCTTTCATCACAATACCTCTCAAAAAATGCGTGTTTTTACAATTTGCACACCTATACCCCCTAAACCAAATTATAAAAAAAACATGGAAAATTTCATTTAATAACTTATATCATAACTAATATAATAATTACATATATATATATCTATCTATTTTAAT